TTACTTGACAAAAAACAACAACACAAACTTCAGTTCAACTTAATCTGGGCTGCAACAAAAATCCCAGAAAGAGCAAATTGTCAGAAAAAGGAAGTCTGCCCCTATCAGGGTCTTCTAAAAAGTAATAACAAAGACATGAGTGGACGACAAATTCTTTACTTTTATTTTGTGAGGACATAATCTGAAACAAGAGCAGAGATTTTCTTGTCGAGAGAGTAACAGTGCCGCTGCATTCTTCCCTTAAAAACTGATAAATGGACTTGGAATGTTTCTACATGTTTCATCACTTTCTACTTTTTTTGGTATAGTATGGGTTCAGACAAATAGTTTCTGGGACATTTGAATAAACATGTACTTGGAAGTTTTCTAAATGGTTTCATCGCATTCTAATTTTTTCTGATATAGTACGGGTTCAACGCCTCTATAAAGGTAAAACATTTATTTAAGAGTCCGGAGCTCTGATCTGAGGTTAACCTGCTATAGAAACATGTCAAAGTGTTAAGACACCCACGAGAACTGTTAAAACAATCTCATGGCCAGGAAAGCACAATGAAGATATTCACATTATAGTCTAGCATGATACAAAAAAAAAACAAAAGGTGTGAATCGTATTTTGTGAATACTTCTATCTCGGAGGAAACACACTAAACAGTTCATTATCTATCACACATACACTCCTGTGTAATCTTTAAAAAATGGGACTTCACGCAACAAACATGAGACTGTTCATTATCTATCACACATACACTTGTAATCTAAAAATGTGACATCATTCAACAAACATGAGGCTACACATACATTTGTAATATAAAAAATGGGACATCATTCAACAAACATGAGACTATCTATCACACATATACTTGTGATTAAAAAAAGGCAGCTGACAATTAACGCTGTTGGCCTAGGTGGTACCTACCTATAGTCAGAACAAAACAAAAAAGATGAATGATGATGAAAATTTATCAAAACATGTTTTTTACAAAGTGCAAGGCAAAAGGAAAGCAACTGTACTCAAGATATTACTCATTACAGCTGAAGGGAAAACAGAACAGTTATAAAACAGAAAACTAACAAATTATAAATATAGAATTATAAAAACTAGGTAAATTTTTCTTTTAAAATCCTGCAAAGTTGGTGGGCTCACGCCAAAAAGTAACACAAAGGCTGTCCGAAAATTAGAGTGAAATATTTCACAACAGAAAAAGTAACAACTCTTGTAACAATCTATAAACAAATTGCAGAGAGCAAAGCACAAATACATGCTACTAGTTGCCAAAGTATCCGTCACATGACAGAACATGTATCTGTGACGTCACACAAAACAAAGATACCCTCATACAGACAAAGTCAAAGGTAGAAACAAAATAAGCCATACGATTTTCAGATGCAAAGTGAAAAAATCCACTAAATTTGAATGGTATAACTACTTAATGTGTATGATTTATTTAGCTCCATATAAAATAAATTGTCCTGTGACCATTCTCACCACACTTTTCCGACAACCCTCATATATCTACATGATCCAAAATGATCACGACTGTTTCACTTTGCTTACACTAAAACTTCAGACTAAACAAAATGAAAGCAGCAGCCAACGACTTCATTAGACGCAAGGTGAACTGTACTATCTATAGTAAACAATATAGACAAAAATATTTCACATTATTTTCTAAACATTGCAACATAAACAGATCTATATTCAGGTGTCTCAAAAAAATAAAGCAATGAAACTCACAGAAATAAAAATGGTGAAAGACGTAAGGGATAGATATATACATGTATTAACTTCTCAATGTGTTCAAAGAAACATCAGTTACTGTAATTGGACACTGAAGAATTGAGGGGGAAAAGTGCACATTAGCTGGTAAAAGATGAAAGGGACAGATACAAATGTGCTTCTCATAATCGCTAGCCCAGAATTACAAAGTTCTATCTGCTCAGTGCCTAGTTTTGAGAAATTTGACTTTAAAAATATTGAGTTTCACATGTCAAGCTTTTTCAAATGCAATTCTTCCAATATCTTGATGATGACTCCGAATAATGTTGTTATTTTGAAAGAGCGGACAGAATATTTGGTGTCTGAACTCATGGTCTCTAAGTGACTCAAAACAGCCAAAAATGTCAGATGGAAATTTGTAATTCCGAGGTAGCATAATGTTCATAGGAAAAAATATCAATCACTATTATGGTCATTGGAGCATTGAGATTAAAAATGAATAAATTCATAAGTAGATAATTCTACAGTACTCTACACCACCCACAGTTTCTCTGCTGAAAGTTTGAAAATGACCCAAACAAGAACATTAGGATATTTACCATACATGATCCCCTTCCCTTGTATTTTGAACGCATTAGATGGATTTGTTTGTATGTTTGATCGTTTGTCTAAGCAAGGAGAAGCACATCAATACAACAATTGTCATTTAGTCCTGAGGAAAGGCAAAATGACTGCCCCGGGTAACAACAGAAACAGTACAGAAGTAGGACCTACTAGTACCGC